TATATATTCATGGGAGATATATATATATCTCCCATGAATGAACGGGAGTGGGTAGGGGACCGGAAAAGAATATGAGCGGGTACATGCGTTTAACCACCGCACCCGCTTGTTGGATCGCCAAGGTCAAATGTTCCTGAAAAATCAGCCGTCTATCCAGGATTACTCCCAAATATAGCGCGCTCCTCTGCTTGTTGACGCAGTTACCCTTGACTGGCAATTTCCCGAAGATCTTCACGTTAGTAAATTTCTTCAAGTTGACGAGTTCTGTTTTGTTGGTTGTGTTGTAGTCGTTCTTGTTGAGTACAAGGTCAATCATAGTGGACGAAGAACCATTCCATGGGTAATGTGTCGGCTCCTCGGGGTATTCAATGACAATATTATTGTTCAGACAATACTCCAGCAATGTCCAGCCACTAGCGTTCGGCTGATTGTGGCAGTTCTACTCACGCCTTCTGGCGGTTAGGTCTTTCACAACTAACACTTTATTCCCAGAATTACACAGATTGTCCAAATCATGCGGAGTACAGCTAATTGTATACCACAAACATGTAGGTATCGTCAGCAAGCTTGATGCCAACATGTTTGATGCTGCTTTTAACAGCATCAGGGCGGTCCATCTGGAAGGTGGTAAAATTTCGTACTTCAGCTTATGTTCCGGTCGCACCTTAACTTTGAATAGAAACATTATGTGAACGAATTATCTCTGCGAGGTTCACCTTTTCGCTTAGCCTCTGGAAGCAGTTGGTTGCCTCCATGAGGTTCTGCTGAGCACCTGTCATAGGTTTAATCACCACCCTGCATCGGTGATGGGTAAGGAAGGGATGTTGACCCAAGGGCTTGTTGTATCCCGGCTCTTTGTTAACTTTAGGAGGTTGCGCAGCAATCAGTTTGGGGACTGGTGCTTGAACCTGTTTTTTGGGGTGGCAGTTTCTGGTCTCTCTGTCTGGCTTCGAGCTCCTCCGCCTTTTCCCGATAGACTGAACAGTCCCTGGAATTGGCGGGGAGATCTCCACCGCAGTTGGCACATTTTGCAAGCTCCCTGCGAGGCTTTTGACATTCATATGTTATTTCCACCACCTTCAGGAAATATATTATTTCTCTAAAGTAAAAGGTTCACCAACTTACCCCAACTTATCCGAAAGATAAAGTATGGTAAAAATTGACTTGCACTAAAAATAATCACAAAAAAACTATAACTAAATAGCAAAGACACTTTTTTGATACTACCAGAGCAAATCGACTGTATTCGGCTACTGCCAGCGGAGAACTTTCTCCAAGTAGAAGATCAACTGGCGATGGTTTATAAAATTCATTATCAGCAAGATTTATATTGTGAATGTGATCCCAATCTGAGTGATTAACTGATGGAGATGGTATTTTTTTTTCACAATTTTGGCAAAATAACAGCATTGAGATTTAGAACGGGACAGAATTTATTGATTGTAGAGGTAGACAAATTAATAATCTATGTTAAAACTAAAATAGCCTTAGTTCGATAACCTCTGATCAGCTGTTAAACGTAAAAAGTGAATATTGTTTGCGAAGAGCCAAATATCAAGAAATAATAATTTCTATTAAGCCGTATCAAATTAACTTGAATTTATATGTACACTGAAACTTTCCTAATTGCGAAACGAAATGATCTGGTTATTATTTCAATAATTATGTATTGAAGGAAAACATCTGCAATGAGAAGCAATTCCTAATATGAATAGCAATAGCAATTTGAAAATGCACTAACTTGAATTATGGAATCCTTGCTGCAATTCCATTTAGCAAAGTGAAAGTGTTAAGCAGTTGTGAAGTGTATGACATAAGAGGTGAGCACTAGCAATTAGTGATAGCAGTTGCAAAAATTTAGAGAAATGTACCTACAAGAGAAAGCAAACTTGAAAATCTTGTATTTCAAAACTGCATCCAAAGTGGTAGCATACTAGTAGTACCTCCGAAATAACTACTTTTATATGAACATTGAATTATACGAAAAAATTACTTTTTCCTATTCATTTTATGGAATTCAATCGGATATCATTTACGGGAACGCTAAACAATATAGTATACAAAAAAATAAATTCTCACTCACATGTAGTACTGCCATCCTCAATGGCGTACATCGATGCTTTGGAATAACACACTTGTTTTATTGCCTCTTCAGCACTAATCTGGATAACATTACAACATAAAACACTCTTTTTGTTCATAACATCATGAATGAGGTATATCTTCTCAAATCAGGATGACAGTAAGTAATGACATTCATACGTTTATTTGAGTTTATCCCTGCCATAGCAATCTTGTTTAAATTGAAAGAAGTATTGTTTTAGAAGGGATTAATTCTTGGAAGAGAAAGGTTTCGGCTTTCTATTTCTCTATCTTTATACAAAAAATGTAGGAAACTTCCAAAAGAATGAAGAAAGCAATTTCAATTGAATCAGAGGTAAGAGTGAATATTCATTTATTGAGCAGCATCCCGTTTGAAAGTTCTATCACACTGAGGCAAATTCAGTAACTATGATTGAAACCAAAAAAACCAAACGCGATCAGATTCGGTATGTGCTATCATATCTGGACCCGCCTCATCACTTATTTGAATTTGTAATGGTTTGTTGGCTAACACAGAATCCAGCTATATATTTAATCAAATAATTTGAACACAAACTCAATAACTAAATCAAGAGGCTTACCTAGTTATAGGGCACTCAATAATTCAATTCAACAGTGTTTTGTTCTTACCTGTCTAGCTTTTCCGTCATACTCTACATTATGATTCCTTAAAATTTTTCTAGCTCTATGATCAGGAGAATTTCCTACATGCCATCCACCAATCCCTGCACTATCTACAACCCACTCATCTGCAGTACCCATTTCTTTTACTAAATGCTGAAATACAGCATCTGCAATAGGTGATCGACAAATATTTCCTTAAAGAAAAACATCTGATTACCGAATCAGTTGAAAAATTTAGCTGATATAATACTGTAGACAAGATTGGGAATATTTTTAAAATAGTATAAATGAATTTCAACAATATCGTTTTTTTCCTGAAAAAACTGGAAGGAAAACATTTATGTTTTGGAATACATTCAGATACCAAAATCATAACCTGAAAATTGGATATAAGCATTTAATTAGCAGCAATTTAGCATTACTTGTACATATTCAATATTAATAAAACCTTCCAAAGTAATTACCAGTTAGATACCACTGTTAATAGCCTTTTCTTCATGTACCATAATATAATGTAATTTGATGAAAAAAAAGTATTCTTATAATAATCACCATTACGGATATTAACTCTACAAAACAATAACATGTACCTAGACAGACAAATAACACTTTCTGAACCATTTCAAGCTATTAATTAAAAATTAATACTCAAGTAACTGCAACTATTATTGTTGTTTTGATTGATTATATCAAAGAGCACATAATTTTACTATTCTGTATCTGTGGGTGGTAAAGGCTAATTCATGTTGGAACGAACATCGCATAAAAAGTGCGATTTAAAATGTCGTCGTGTTTATCGTAAAAAAGTTGAAAAAATTGAACTTTTTTGCGATTTCCGCAAAATGTTATACCTACGTCAACATATAAAGTAGTTATATTGCTTTGATTCTCGTTTTTTAAGCCCATACATCAAAATTGAATCCGAAATGGACAAATGTGTCAGGTTGTTCAAATTATATCAAATTTACCGTAAAAAGCTTCATTGAGAAAACCTTGTCTTTATAGTGGGAAATATTTTCGAAAATAGAAGAAAATATCACTATCACAATCTTGTGGCTGAAATAAATGAGAATTAGTGATCCAGAGAAATATTTCAACTATTTCAGGCTCACTCTCTCATAACTGAATAAATTGTTGAATTTGGTTGGCCCCTCATTAAAGAGAACTCATTTTGCAAAAAAGAACCCCTCGCCCCTGCAGGCAGTAACGTTAAGATAAGTTACTGCCAGCAGTACACGATCCTATTAAACAAAACTTGAGAAAATTGTTAGTCCTATATTCTGATATAATGGGGTCTGGGTTTGAAAGTTGTAATTCGTATGAGTCGTATATCATCATTCAGGTTCATGTAATAAAATTTTAAATTCAACAATGAAATCCCTAGATATTGCCTGCTTCAACATGAACAGGGTATATTTGCGAAACCGCAAAAATATTATCGCAATCGTTCTAATATGAACTCGCCTTAAGAGTACAGAAAAGAGAAACTTTGAAATTGCCTTCAAGGAGTACACCAACTAACATTGCCTTCTTCAATTTGACACCTCAACGAACTTATGATGCACTGTTTGGAAGCTTTACTTTGGTGTAGTAATGAATAGGTTTGTTTTGGTTCTGTATTTCGAACTGTTATTGAACCGTCCCGTATCGACGCCGAATCAATGCGCAGAGCATTACAGTCACAGAACACTTCTGGAACGGTCCCAACAAGTAAAAAACCAAAACATAAAAAAATTATTCTGACAAGTGTATAAACAAAGATTGGAGGTTAGGTACCTCACCTCTACTCTGGTATAACGATCATTGGACTTTTGAGTTAAGTTTAAAGACAAGAGTGAAAAAGTGAAACAAATATATAATTAAAGTGTGATGATGTTTTTGAAGACGTTATCTACGGTTATCCAAAATTAAATTGAAATTATATTGGCCTCTCTTTGTAATCTTATACTAATGAGTTTGACAAAAACATGCCAAGAATAAATTTTTGGAATAGGCCTTTTCATCACATTTTTTTTGTGCGCATGCGTCACCATCAGCCATATTTTTCGTACTCATGTTTTAAAAATAATAATATAAATTGAAGTTTACTAATTGTAAAAAAAAATTAAAAAAAAAGAAGTAAGTCAAAATAATCAGAAAAGAATTTTGTACTACATTATAATTATGTTATCTGTACGAAAAGGAACAACAAAACGGTGTTGTTATGGAGTATGTAAAAGTGATACACGATACAAATCATTCAAAAGCAACACATACACTATTTTATACACTTTCCAAAGCCTTGAATATCGCAAAAAAATAATCAAATCATCAAGCAAATTACATATTGAAGCTTGTGCAAAATGTGAATTACGGGGAAAAAATGTGGCAGGAGTGACGGAGGTTTTAAATATATTGATGATGTTACCAAGGTTACTTAGGTATATTTGCTAACTACATTCCATTGGAGAAAGTGGTCCAACTGAACAAAACCCTGATCCTTTAAGCTATCAGAAACTTCAACATACGTACATTATTCCTTATTGTATTTTTGACTGTAAATTTTATAAATTTCGTATATATTATGTTGTATTAAATATTTCCCTCTGATAAAAATTACTAAACATATTCAATTCAGTATTTACATATTTGTCTAATTAATAATGTCTTCACTTTTTTCCTTTTTGCGGATGCCCATGACGTTTTAACCACCTTTTTAATTGTTCACAATTATGAGCCTCAACTGAATCATTAACAAGTGAAGCACCATCAATGGTTTTTACCAATAATTTATTTGTTTGTAGAGATAATAATCCTTGCCCAGCCATTGTTGATTAAAACAGTACGAATGTTTTGAATTACCGCCATTTCAATATAACGGCTACCCTTGCGCTCGTCTTATGATGAAAGGGCCTATTGTAAAAGATGTGATAATAATAACGAATATCATTATTGCTTCATACATTTCACGTCTATCTGTTATGGTATAAGAATAATGTTGATATATAATTTTGTCTTATTTACAGGTCGCAATGAACTCTCCGAGTTTCTTGACTTCTTCCACTGCTTTCTTAGGTTTTGTTCTTCGAGTTTTGTTGGAAATGGATTTTCTGAGGGCGAACTAATCAGTAGATGATTTGGCGTTAAACACTGAGGATCGGAGGGATCGGCTGAAACATGAGTTAATGGTCTACAATTTACTGCCTACTCAGCTTCCGCGAACAATGTTGATAAAATTTCATCCTTAGGAGATTCTATCTTTGAAGTAACCCCCAAAATTTTCTTGACCGAGCCTATTAACCTTTCCCAGCATCCACCCATATGTGGACTACCAAGTGGAATGAAGTGCCATTCTATCTCCATCTCTGTCATTCTTCGAGTTAGCTCCTGGTGATCAAGTTCACGGTACAATTTCAAAAGTTTTTCATTCGCTCCCTTGAAATGTGTGCCATTCTCTGAATAAAGGCGTCTGATTGGACCCTAGCGTGATACCATCCTCCTTATAGCCATTATTATACCATCAGCAGTGAGGGAGTGTGCGATTTCCAAGTGAATTGCACGAATTGTCATACAAGTGAAAAGAACTCCCCACCGTTTCAACCATTCTAACCATCTATGGAAGATTGTTTTTGAAATCTTATCGTCCCATCTGATGCAACTTCGCCAGATTGCCTGTAGAATGATTTTTCCCTTAATAGACAAGAATGTGAGAAAGTCTATGGGATCAAAAATCGACATAACCAACTGCAAAACTTTTTTGTAGGAATCACCGTACCGTCAGTTATTTCTTTGGGAACCATATGATAAACGACTTTAAATGTAAACGAATCAGATTTCACATCCCACCATACTCCTAAAATGCGGTCCAACGATGACTTATTGAAATATTTTTCGACATGTTCGTTTCCGTATTTTGAGATAACCAAAGGTGAATTTGAAGACCAATTCACAATATCGAAACCACCATTTTTATGGAGTTCAATTATTCTTTCCATTTTTGAGAGTACTTCTTGCTCTGTATCACAACAATCCAGATAGTCATCAACATAGAAATTTCTCCCGACGTCTTTAATCAATTCAGGATATTTCGATTGCTTAGCATTTAAATTTTTAACATATTATGCGGAACATGGAGAACAAGAAGCACCGAACATCATCACCTGTAACTCGTATTCATCTATTTGCCTATGTTGCTCGCCATTCCGCCAAAGAAACCGCTGTGCACATCTATCCTCCTTGCGAATTTTTACCCTATGGAACATCTCGGTTATATCCCCTAAGAAACTCCATTTCGATCGACGAAAGCGCATCAGAACACCTGGTAATAAAGTCAGATAATCCGGACCTTGCAGAAGGTTTTCATTTAAGCTGGTACCATTACTCTTAGCGGCAGCGTCAAAAACAAGTCTCAACTTATTGGACTTATTAGGATCTACGACACCAAAATGTGGAAGATACCATGTGCGAGAATTTTGTTCAATCGCCTTGGAAGTTTCTAATTTTCGAATGTACCCCTTTTTTAAGTAGTCACTGATTTTGTTGCAGTACTGATCAAAATATGATTTATCCCTCAACATTTTTTTCTCAATACAATACAACCTTCTTTCTGGTAAAGTTGCATTGTCATTTCTCCAAATCAACCCTGTCTCATATCGTTTTTCATTTTCTAAATAAACTGTGTTTTTTTCCAAAATATCAAGGGCTCTTCTATGAGCAATGTCAATAATTCAATTATTAACGGAAACACCAAATGATTCGGTACTAAAAGATTCCCTGACTAGACGATTCAGTTCATCATTGTTATCGCAGGAACAAATGTGGAAGCTATATATATATTTTGATCAGATTCTGAAGTGTTACCATGGATAACCCATCCTAAATTAGTTTTAGTAGCAATTGGACTATGTTCAGAACCCTGATAAACTTTTCTTGCTACTGTTAAATGGATATTGTCCTGACCTATGAGAACAGTAGGATTTGCATCTACCATATCTTGAATATGTAGTCCCTGAAGATGTACATAACCTTTGAAATTATCCATCTCGATGGTTTGAGAAGGTAAAGACAAATTTGTAACTGTTCTAAAACCACTCATTTGGAAGATTCTTGCCCCTTCATGAACTCCAGAAATTTTCATATTGATACATTTTGAACCCTCATCATATGCATGCATGCATATGATGCATCGCCAAACGCTTCCTTTCAATTTCTACCCTATTTGAAGATACCTTAGATTCATTTGATTTCCTTGCCGATTTTCTAGTAGAATCTGATACTTTTGATGGCTACCTGATCGATCCTAGATCTGTTCCATCCCTATTGCCAGTTCTATTAGACTGTACATGAAATCCGGAACCTTTCGGCTCTTCTATGGGAGCTGTTTGGACAATTTCCAGCACCTGAGTTGCGTCTCCTTGCTGATGCGAAGACATGAAGATATTTGATTCTGACTGAACAGTGTCATGAATACTTATAACTCTCTAATGCCAGCGGCCATCGAACATAATCATCAAAATTATTGGTCTTGCCAGCATTTTTTCTCTGAGATCTTCTTCGATATTCAGACATGTTTCCTTTTCAGTGCGTATTTGTGGACTGTAAATACAATATTTTGATGTCTAATCCGGTTAAAGGACCATGTAATTTCCTTAGAAACTTTATTTTTCAAGAAAATACCAAATTATACTTTTTGACGTCAATTGACCTTTTTTTGACAATCAACAACTACAACTTTTTTTTATAAACATATCTCATTCATAGCTTAC